GACGGATTCCCTGCCAACTGCCCAACTTTCAAAGGGCATAACTCGCTCATACGAACTCGGAATCGAGCAAACTCGGTGGTGTTGGAAAGATCGTTCCAAGGGCTTTCCAAACATAACTAGAACTACTCCTGGATCATCCTGATCTAGGAGTTATGACTGCTCAAAGTTGGCCAAAAACTCACTGATTTCCCACACTTAACCAAATTTCCAGATTCTGAATTTTTCCAAAAGTGACTACTTCCAATTTCAAGCTTCTTCTTATTCATTTTAAATTGTCGGAGTTACACAATTAAAACAAAATTACATATAAACCCCTCATAGAACCTCATTATAAAGTCAACACAAAGTCATAGGCTCTTGCTTAACCTATCATTTTTTTTCGAGTCGTTACACTTCCAATAACTTCACAATCAATGGCCAATTTTGAGGTATTCCTTCTAACCATGGATATTTATACTTGGTAAACAAATATATATTTTTGTTAATCTCCAACATCATGGTTTGTTTAGACATAACCCCCCATGTTTAATGACATTTCTCCTTTTCCAAATTTGCCATATTATAAAAGCAGGGACTGCTTTAAAAATAGGCTTTAATTTAGTAGCACAATCAGCCTTCCACCATTCCTCCAAGACCTGCTTAATCTGCAGCTTCATTAAATCACTTCCAAATATGATTAGAATCAGGACAACTAATAAATAGATGTACAAAGGATTCTTGTATCATGTTGTTACAACAACAACATTCTTCAGATTCTGCTATGCCTCTTCTGATCAAAATTTCCCCAATCGAAATTCTTCTAAACCACATCCTTCATAACAAGAAGGACACCTTATAAGGTAATCCTTTCACCCATATGTTAGATATATTCTCTATTGGCTCCTTCCTGTATCTACATAAATCCCATGTTGTTCCTACCTTGAATTTACCAGACCCACTAGGCATCCACCAAGGTTTATCTCTACCCTGAGTAAGAACCAGATTTGTCAAGACATTGTGTATGTGAATGCATACATCCTCATTAAAATTTGCCTGTAACATTGCATGATCCCATCCATCTTCATTGACCAGTTGCATTACAGATTTCACTTGACTATGATCCTACTGAATATCCATATTAAAATACAGAGCCCCCAGCTGTGTCCAATTATCAAACCATACATTTGCATGTCCCTCCTTTGGTTCCCACCATATCTCTTGATAAAAAAAATCTCTTGCCAGTAACATATTTTTCCATACTTGTGATCCCCCTTTCCATTCTACAATTTGTGGTCTATGTCTCTTGCAATACTTGTTCCACATGTAATTAGACCACATAGTATTAGTGGTCCTGAATTTCAACCATAATTTAGCAAATAAAGCCTTCGAAATATCAAACAATGATCTAAATCTCAATCCTCCTTCTTTTTTTGGTACACAAATATCCTTCCATGCAATCCAATGGGTAGATTTACCCACTTCCTTGAAATTCCATAAGAATTTGGCAAAAATTCTATGGATATCATATATTACACATTTAGGAGGATTAATGATAGACAATAGGTATATTGGAATACTCTGTAAGACATTGTTGATTAAAGTAGCTTTACCCCCAAAAGACAATAATTTTCCTTTCCATAACTGCAGCTTGCTTTGAATCTTTTTTATCATGAAATGCACCTTCTTTTTGTTATGATGGCCAATAGGGCAGCCCAAATACATCAAGGGAAAGCTTCCATTTGTGAAACCAGTGACCTCTTCCACTAATTGATTAGAAGCTACTGTTGCTTTACTATACAAATAAAAGGAACTCTTCTCCTTGTTGATCAACTGTCCTGACTACTCTTCATATTTCCTCAATACCTCCATTATAAGCTGTAAGGATCTTTTATCTGCAGCTGCAAAAATAATTGTATCATCTGCATATGCCAAATGATTCAATTTATCACTCCATTTAGGTAATCCATAACTTTTATATTCATATTTATCAAATAAATGATTCATAACCCTGGATAACACTTCTGCAGATAAAATAAATAGAGCAGGAGATAAAGGATCTCTTTGCTTAACCCCTTTAGTAGAATGGAAAAAACCATGACTTTGGCCATTAATTAGCACCGAGTAGCAGTTGTTAGCAATCAGTCTCCAAATCATGTCAAGCATCTTTGCATCAAATCCCATTTTCTCCAATACCCTGATTAAGAACCTCCACTCTACTCTGTCTACCCCTTAGCCTTATATCAGAAATCACCTCCTGGGCCAATAACACATTTTCTGAAATATTTCTGCCTTTAACAAAACCAGATTGGTTTTTTGATATTAATTTTGGAAGAAAACTTTCAATTCTATCATGAACAAGCCTAGAGATGACTTTATTCAGAGAATTGCTCACACTAATTGGCCTAAGATCTGAAAAGGAATGAATAATGTCCTTTTTAGGTATTAGGACCAAATTAGTATGTGTAACAGATTTAGGCAAAGTAGCACCCTGAAAGAAAGCATGAATCATTTGTATTATATCAGGACCTACAATATCCCAACAACTTTGATAGAAACTCCCATTAAAGCCTTCAGGACCACAAGCACTATCCGTATTCAGTTTAAATACCACCTTTTCAATCTCTACAGCATCAGGCATCTCATTAATCCAAGCGTTTTCTTCCTAAAAGATCTGAGGTTGTATCCATTGTAACAAGGACATCTCCTCATTAGTGACACCACTAGTAAATTGTTTTTCAAAAAAACAAACCCCTTATTTTATGATTTCACATTCAGATTCTGCCCATGAACCATATGCTTTTAATATTCTTCTCCATGCAAGCCTTCTTCTTCTCCCCTTAACTAGGGAATGAAAGAATTTTGTGTTCTTGTCTCCTTCTTCAAACCATTGCATACTAGCCTTCTGCCTCCAAAACTCTTCTTCGTAGTGAAGGTACAATTTTAATTCTGCATGTGCTTGTTGCAAGATAGATCTATTATCAGGTGAAGGATCTTCCTGAAATGGGAGCTCCTTAATCTTCACAATCTCTTCTCTAATAGCTATTTGTTTAAAAATATCCCCAAACTTCTCTCTACTTCATTTGGACAAAGCTCTTTTGGTCCTTTTCTATTTCTGTTTCAGCTGGATGAAAATGTCATCAGAATTTTCAGCCACCCAATTTTGCTGGACAATTGCTTTGAAATCTTCCCTTTCAATCCAAAATTTCAGAAATTTGAAAGGCTTAGCTATATGAGTATTGCCCACCCCACATGAAAGAAGTAATGGTGCATGATCAGAGCCTGTTCTAGCAGGATGTTGTACACCAATATTGCCATACATGTCGAAGTAATGATTGATTAACAACAATCCTATCTAATATCTTGAAAATACATTCTTCATCCACCCTTCCATTCCACCAGGTAAAAGGATTTCCAGAGAAGTTGATATCAAAGAGATCACATGAATGGATACAGATGGCAAAATCCTCATATTCAAAAAATAAGATACTAACTTATCAGCTTAATTCAAATAACAATTATAAAGAACTAACTCCTAAATATAAGTCAAATAAGACTCTAATAACATAATTTAAAAATCCTAAAAATAGCTAACTGTTTTATTTCTGCAATATCCTGAGACATATTCTCAACACTCCTTCTTGGATTAGGAATTGTAGATTGTAGTCTCATCTGAAATTGACCTTATGAACAAATCTGCTAATTCATCCTTTGTCTTGCAAAGCTTGTGTGCATCTTATGTTGGATTAAATGAGAAGCTCTTACCTCTCATTTCAACTTGTAAAATATCTTGCTTAGTAAAATCAAAAATTCGATAGTATTTGTCACCAAATAATAATTTAAATCTTTTTTCTATTAACTGACCAACACTAAACAAACTTTTATCAATATCAGGCACATAAAGAACCTCTGAAATTATTTTTGTACCTAAATTTGTTTTAATTGAAACAAACCCTTTTCCTTTTGCAGGAATACAATCACCATTCCCAATTCTGACATTCTTATTTTCCATAGGAATGAACTCTTTAAAAAGATTTCTTTCATATGTCATGTTGTTTGTACAACCACTATCAATCATCCAAAAATCAGATTTTTTGGTTGAAAAATAATTTGCCACAAATAAGTGGTCTTCTTCTTCACTAGTGACTTGGGCAACTGTTTCATCTTTTTGAAATTTGCTTTTGCAAATCACAGTTTCATGACCAAGTTGTTTGCAGTTCTTGCACTGTGCATCTGGTCTTTTCCAACATTTATATGGAGGATGTCCATTTTTTTCACAGTGCTGACAAGGTGGATAATTTTTTAAAAATTTACCCTTGCTTTGAGTTTTGAGGCTAGCTACTAATGCTCCTTCAACCATGCCATCTTGCCTCATAAGTCTCCTTTGTTCCTGAGCCTTGTTGGCAATACCAAGCAATCTGTCAGAGTATTCTTTGACTGTTTCTGACTCTTTCATTCTCTGCAATTCGAATTCCCTCATTAAATTTAATACCTTCATTCCTCGTATTCTTTCATCTCCAGCATATTCTTTCTTCAAATAATTCCAAATATCTTTTGGTGATGTGAGAGTCATGATTTTCGTGAAAACAATTGTTGAAACAACAACAAACAAAGTTGCTTTTGCCTTCGACTTAATGATTTTCTTTTCTTTGTGACTCTTGATCTGCGCCACGGTGGGATTATTTGGCAGTGGATTAATTTCATAATCCTCTTCCACGGCTTCCCAAAGATCAAGAGTCTCCAAGTAAGTTTCCATTCTCACAACCCATAATTGATAATTCTCACCATCAAAAATAGGATGAGCCATTTGTGAAAAACTATTTCAGAATCCATTTTTCTACTCACAGGTCCCTCAAGAAGAAGTCTCTGATACCAATTGTTGAAAAAGACCAGATGCACAATGCAATAACTGCAAACAACTTGGTCATGAAACTGTGATTTGCAAAAGCAAATTTCAAAAAGATGAAATAGTTGCCCAAGTCACTACTGATTAAGAAAAAAAAGCTTCTCATTTAATCTAACATAAGATGCACACAAGCCTTGCAAGACAAATGATGAATTAACAGATTTGTTCACAAGGTCAATTTCAGATGAGACTACAATCTACAATTCCTGATCCAAGAAGGAGTGTTGAGATCAAGAGTCACAAGGAAATTAAGTTGATAAGTTAGTATCTTATTTTTCTATTTTTAGTTAGGAATTATATCTATAAATGCAAGTCTCTGGATTATTAATAAAATAATTTCCTTTGATAATACTGTAGTATTTTTTCTCTCAAAGTCTTTCTTTGTTATTTTCTTTATTTCTTTATTAAAAAACCAACAATTGGTATCTAAAGCCTTCTTCTTGAGGGACGTGTGAGTAGAAAAATGGATTCTGAAAATAGTTTTTCACGAATGGCTCCTCCTATTTTTTGATGGTGAGAATTATCAACTATGGACTGTGAGAATGGAAACTTATTTGGAGGCTCTTGATCTTTGGGAAGCCGTGGAAGAGGATTATGAAATTAATCCGCTGCCAAATAATCCCACCGTGGCCCAAATCAAGAGTCACAAGGAAAAGAAAACCATTAAGTCCAAAGCAAAAACAGCTTTTTTTGCTGTTGTTTTGACAATTGTTTTCACGAAAATCATGACTCTCACATCACCAAAAAGATATTTGGAATTATCTGAAGAAAGAATATACTGGAGATGAAAGAATACGAGGAATGAAGGTATTAAATTTAATGAGAGAATTCGAATTGCAGAGAATGAAAGAGTCAGAAACAATTAAAGAATACTTTGACAGATTGATTGGTATTGTCAACAAGATAAGATTACTAGGCACTGAATTTAAAGACACAAAAATTGTTGAAAAAGTTCTTGTTACTGTGCCCGAAAAATATGAAGCATGTATAACTACCTTGGAAAACACACAAGATTTGTTCAAAATTGTGTTGGCAGAATTGTTAAATTCTTTGCAGGCTCAGAAACACAGGAGACTTATGAGGCAAGATTACGTGGTTGAAGAAGCATTAGTAGCCCGCCACAAAACTCAAAGCAAAGGGTAAATTTTTGACAGATCTTGTTGTCTCCGTCCGTGGAATACCTATACAAAATTCGTCCGGCAGAGAAATGCAGAGATTCAAATCGTCTTTCCTTTTACGTCCTTTTGTGCGCAGCCGTCTCTTCATATCTCAATGCAATCGTTATACTACTCTGTCCACTATTGATGACCCAGTAAGCACCTTCACTTTCTTTCCCACTTCCCCCTTTTGATCCTCAAACCAACATTCTTCTTCATTTTCTATTGCTTCAGGTGTTGGTTGAAAGGAAAGGTTCTAATACGACGACTCTTTTACTCAACAGGCCCTCTGTGCTTAATGCTCTCAACTATTTCACTGTCAGTCTCTTACATTCAAATTCTATTCTTCTGAAAACATTTCCAACGTTTTTTTGGACTTATTAAAGGGAGAATGTTGTTGTGAATGACTCAATTGGTATTCTTCCATACAGGTACCTAGGTTATTGCCGCTCTACTCAAGTTGGGAAGATGATCCCCATGTGAGGTGTGTGGTATTGAAGGTAATTTGTTGAAATTTTTTCTCCCTCTATATATTCATCTTGCCATTCAGTGATCCTTTTTTTTCTTTCTGATTTCTGAAAGGGGGAGGGCCGTGCATTTTGTGCTGGCGGTGATGTGATCAATACTTATAATATGATAAAAAAAGGTACAACTTCTATTCCTTCTCACCAGTTTGTATGACACAATCCAGACCTTTTTAGGTCAAACTTTATACAGAAGAGGAGATGTCGGGAATAAATTGTGTGCTTACCGTATTTACAAGGAATGAGTAACTATTGTCATATTAAAAATTTCCTAATTCCTTGACTTTCTTCCTCAAGTTGGGGCGTACATATTGTATTCTCCTAACTTGCCACAAATGACTCAAATCTCTTGTCAATTAAAATGACAATCTACTTGTATATATTTCGCTCTCTCATGAAACAGTGGGTTTGAAGCAATGTATATTCAGCCTGATTGTCATCAATCAGTTGCAGGGGTGCATCTTTTCGCCACCTTAACTCTTTAAAAACTTGTCTTAGCCATATTAGTTACATGTAGCCAAAGCCATTGCTTGGTATTATTCCTTGGTGCTTGTCTAGTTTCTACAACTTGCTTTTTGCTTTTCCAAAATATAATTCCTCCAATTAAACCATCGAAACCTTGGTGGATGGTCCTGAATGAAATCCTGCCAATTTGAGTCAAAATATCCTATAGTATTTGTATGTCCCCTATCCTCATAGAAGACATGTCTAGGTGAACCTTTGATGTAAGTAAGAATGCAAATTACTGCATTTCAATGATTTTCATACGGAGCTCGAGAAACTGGCGAACAACCCTAACAACAATGAGATGTATGGTTGTGTGATTGTAACGTGTACAGGAGATATATTTCCTGTCTTATGCTCTTCACAAATAGTAGTTCATGCATATTTTCTTTTGACTGTTTGAAGAATGTTGATTGTATTGTTGCTTCATTTTTGGTACTTCAGTTTTTAGTTAGAAGCTGTCTATTTAGTTGTGTGCGCAGCCATGGTATATGTATATGTCATGAATCATAATATATTAGATCTTTTAGCTAATTGTTACCCGAATGCTGCTGGGAACCTTCTACAATACTGTAACTAAATTGTGTTAGCTTTTACTTTCACTGATAGATCTTTTTTTGTCCATTGTATTATGCAGGAAACATTGATGAATGCAAAGAACTTTATCAGAAAATATATAGTCTTGCATATGTTATTGGCACATACTTGAAACCACAGGTGAGTGTCTTTTTTGTTTTTCTTTCTCGAGATAATAAATATCAGAATTTTTTGTAGAATTTGGACGTACCTCTTTTCTTACCCTGGGTCGCAAGTTCCAGGTGAGATACTGGTCACCAATAGAACGAATCCCTGTAATCAGCTTGTCACACATCTTTAGCCACCATTATGATCTAGTTGAGATACCATAGTATTGATGTCTTTTATGCCGTGGAACTTAAAACAGGTTGCTGACAACTAAAGAAGAAGTTTTAGTAGGTCTATCCACGCTTCCTATACCAATTTCTCCTCCTTTGTTACCTTTTCTCAATCATGTGAAAAGCTTGGAAAATCTGAGATTCTATGAAGCTGTAGCTGAAATGACATCTGCGTCCAAGGTTCAACTTCGAAAGATACTGCTTCTAAAAGGAAGCAGTCTCTACAAGTGGATAGTTATTTACCTTTTTAACTCCTAGTATAATGGGTCGTGGGATAGCCTTTAAAGAATCTAAATGATTGGTGAGCATAGGTTTTAACCACTTGAATTAGCTTTCATTGTTTACTGCATTGAAAGATCTGGAAGTGCTGACCCTATCTAGTTCTTAAGAAATATGCCTATGAAAGAAGTAATCAGTCTCTTGGTTCCTCTCATTGGCTTCTCCTTCCCACTGTAGTATACACTGGAATAGTGAAAAAATTAGCAGTTTTGCTACTCATTACACTTTCAGTTCCTTCTGACTAAGAAGGCATTAGTGAGTGGAATACATACTTTATTTAGAAATCTAAATTATTTGGTGCAACTCCAAGTGCTCTTAACTCTAGTTATCTTGGCTATTGTACCATATATGTGCTCTACTGTAATCTAATAGGACCATGCAGAGATTCACTTGTTTACCTGTTTAATCTGCTATGTTCCTTTTTCTGATTTTTTTTTCACCAAACCCAAATCTGAATCCGTATTCACTTGTGCATTAGTAAAACTCTATCTCGTCATCTAAAAAAATTATAATTACCCGAAAAATTTTAAAAACTTTTATGTCCAAACTTCCAAACAAATTAATGATTCAACAGTTAACGAATACTTGATTCTCATATAATGATCAGTGGCGGAGCCAGGATTTTCGTCAAGGGTGTTCATACTTTAGGACAAGTAAAAAAATAAACCTTGTTGGTCAGATTATAAAGATTGGCTACAAAATAGTCATACCTCAATTATTGATTTCTACCTAGTGCTCCAAGTTGTTCCTACTCTCTACCTGCTCAATATCAAATTAACCAACTATCCAAAATGAAAATTCTTACAATGGAAACTTACAAAATATCAATGGATAAACTAACGTAGATGAAGTAGGACAAATATATTGACGGATAGTTTCATACACACCAAAATATGTAAAGTGGTAATCACAATTGCACTCGATGACACTTCATCTCTTGAAATGTTCTCATAATACACTCATTAGAAACATCTTTAAATATTTTTTTCTCTACATAAGGCACTATGCAACCATCTAAGAATTCATCATCCATTCGATTTCGCAAGTCATTCTTGATAATATTCATTGCCGAAAAAGCTCTTTCAACTGTAGCAGTGGCAACAGGTAGAAGCAAAGCAAACTTCACTAAAAGAAATACGAGAGAATAGTTTAAATGCTTCTTTGTCTCAGCCAACTTTCTTGAAAGTTCCCAAGTCCACCCAAAATTGGAGAACCTTTCATCAATATCACGAACATCAATAATGTAATAAACAAGTTGATTCTCAAGAGCTCTCATGTTGGACTCATCAAAGTCATCAGGATATAATTCAGCCATTCTCATTATCTTCTTTATGTCAAAACTAGAAAATGAATCAATTGGATTCAAGCAAGATACTCCATTAAGCAAATCACTTGTCACCTCATTGAAACGGTCATTAAGTTCTTGTAGCTGCCAATCAATGATTTTGTAAAACACATCCACACGATAATGGTGCAAAGTAGTACAAATAACTACTTTACGTCGTGATCTCCCAGAATTATCA